GCATAATTTTGTCAAAATACTTGATAGAGTTACCTCCTCCTGTCTACAGGTTGGGGTCATGATGGTGAACAAGTGTGCAAAGTTTCAAAGCCATATGTCAATGGACTTTGAAAATATTTGAACTATTACAAAAACTTTAACGTAAATTCTAAGTCGAAAAAGGGGCATAATTCTGTCAAAATGCTTGATAGAGTTACCTCCTCCTGTCTACAGGTTGGGGTCATGATGGTGAACAAGTGTGCAAAGTTTCAAAGCCATATGTCAATGGACTTTGAAAATATTTGAACTATTACAAAAACTTTAACGTAAATTCTAAGTCGAAAAAAGGGGCATAATTCTGTCAAAATGCTTGATAGAGTTACCTCCTCCTGTCTACAGGTTGGGGTCATGATGGTGAACAAGTGTGCAAAGTTTCAAAGCCATATGTCAATGGACTTTAAAAATATTAGAACTATTACAAAAACTTTAACGTAAATTCTAAGTCGAAAAAGGGGCATAATTCTGTCAAAATACTTGATAGAGTTACCTCCTCCTGTCTACAGGTTGGGGTCATGATGGTGAACAAGTGTGCAAAGTTTCAAAGCCATATGTCAATGGACTTTGAAAATATTTGAACTATTACAAAAACTTTAACGTAAATTCTAAGTCGAAAAAGGGGCATAATTCTGTCAAAATACTTGATAGAGTTACCTCCTCCTGTCTACAGGTTGGGGTCATGATGGTGAACAAGTGTGCAAAGTTTCAAAGCCATATGTCAATGGACTTTGAAAATATTTGAACTATTACAAAAACTTTAACGTAAATTCTAAGTCGAAAAAGGGGCATAATTCTGTCAAAATGCTTGATAGAGTTACCTCCTCCTGTCTACAGGTTGGGGTCATGATGGTGAACAAGTGTGCAAAGTTTCAAAGCCATATGTCAATGGACTTTGAAAATATTTGAACTATTACAAAAACTTTAACATAAGTGGTTACGCCGACCCCGACGCCGACGCCGACGCTCGGGTGACTGCAATAGCTCTACTTATTCTTATCGAATAGTCGAGCTAAAAAGGTCTAAATAATGTCATTTTTTTAGTGAATTGATTGTTTTGGAATTTTGCAACCGTTTTTGGTCTTATATTTTATGGTACGTGAACAAGTAACTGAAAAGATTCAATACCTTATTTGAATTTGATGTTTTTTTAAGTGTGGACCCCCTTTTTTCTCAAATGACCCCCTTTTGAAAAGTTTATGGGCCCGTAGGGCCCCCTGGGAATTTGTTCTAGATTGAACACTGTATGTGGGAAATCATGGCAGGGTTATAAAATAAAAAGGTAGTTCAGAAATTTCACCTAATGATCACAGATGTTAAAAAATCCAACTTAATAATATCTAATTTGACAATTTAAACGGACTTAAATGCAGTATGATCTGACATCGGACATCATAAACTATTTAATTTCTAAGTAAGGTTATCATAATTTCCTTTACACATTCTCTTTTTAATGCCGAAATATTTGTGTGTGAATAAAAGAGTTATTCCTGCAATAATTCATATAAATAACCACGGATTTATATTACAGGGATCGGACACTCCCAGTTAACCCTATATAAATGCTTAAATATCTTGTCGTGCACCCGATAAAGGTACATCGATCGATAATTTACCGGCGCGAAGCGTAACTGCCCGTTCGCAACGGATACCTACTTTACAAAATACCATATAGCTTTTTCATTTATTATCCGATTTTGGAAATTTAAAGTTTATTTTGAAGAAAAATACTTGGTTAATTCAAATATCTAATTTATTTTTTAAAGGTACAGCTTATCTGTCCGCAACGACGGTTAAAAAATTAACTTGACGAAATCCGCGGTAAATTTACATTTTTTATATAAAAAGCAGGTATTTGAAATTTATTATTACGGTACCATAATATTTTCAGTTTCAAAACAAAAAAGAAGCCGATGTAAGTTATTCACAGATGATCAAAGATGCAATATTTAAGATTTATTGGGTTATGTAGTCAAATTTATTAACGCACAATTGTTTTACGGGTAATTATGTATTGCGGCCTTTACACGTGAAGAAAATTTATTCATTTTTTAGTTCAAAATATTGCCGAGATTGTCAATATTGCCATATTCATAGAATATTTAAATTTCATTCATCATTTGTATCATTATTATTTTTTGTAAATCTGTTTTCAAATGTCGGTGCAGTGAAGTAGACTATCATCGTAACAGTAAAGTTCTCTCGTGTGGCTGTCTCGATTCCGGCCTTTTTAATGTCACTCGTATATTTTAATCCGTATATTTTAATTATTCTTTTTATTTGAATGCCTGTAGAAAGATATTTATTATACTTTTTAATGTAGCGCTAGAAAAACAATAAAAATCTTTACTGTTTGAGTCAGTATTTTGCGAAATAAAAGTAACTATTGATTATTTTTTACACATCGCTTAAATTTCTTTCAAGTTTAATTACGTTTGAAGGGGGGTAAGTGATAATTAAAAAACTTTATTTCCAAACTTTCATTACAAGGTTACATGTGATAATTGCAACACTCAATCTTCAAAAACAAATATAATTTGAATGTATATTTTGTATATGCGCGGTCTTTAACTACAGTCCATGGCATATGTGGTAAGAAAATGATTCTGAAGAGGATATATATAAATACAATGTAAATCTATTTTCTTTATTAACATTTATAAATGAAATTGAAAATATACAACTAAATTTGTATAGTCCTTTCTCTGAAAAATAATGAAAATAAACATGTGATAAATAAATCATTTGACGTGAATTGTTTAGGATATCTATGAAAAAATTATGTTTCAAAATAAAAAATAATATTATAAAACAGCTGTTCTCTATGCCAATAAAAGTTTCTTCCTTGCCAATCTAATGAATTCATCTATATAGAAATGCTTGTCTAGAATGATCTGAAAAAATATTTAATACACTTATTATATATAATTAGTAGAATATTTACTATATTTATACTAATAAATTATACAGGTAATCAAGTAAAAAATGTACAAATCATTTGGAAATAATTCACAGAAATAAAGACACATTTCAAACATGAATTTCTTTAAAAGTTTTTTAGCAATCAAGAAACTTTTTTTTGCAATGCCATCATGAAACCATGTAAAAAATAATTATCTTATTCTGAATCGCGGTAATAATTCGTGCTTGAAGTAAAAGGGCGGCGAAGTGTAGAGAGTATGCCTAAACAATAGGCGAATATTTTTTTAAATTAGGTACTTTTTAACTAAGCGTTGCAGCGTTCTATCAGCATATTTTCATATTATAATACTTTAGCGACACAAAATAATACTGTATCAATACATTCATATGTGTATAATTTTTCACAAAGCTGCAATAACACCACATACTCCGGTGAAAATCTGTCATATTTTGTACTCCGCACGTTCCGCCATCTCATTCTGTCAACCTTTATCCGATTCCGCGCATGCGCGCGACGGGACTTTAAGCTAAACGAAAGTGTCCGATCCTTGTAATATAAATCCGTGAAATAACATACAGTGTTCCTACTTCTATTTTTCATTGGGGGTATTTTTACCCCTTACCTTTGAAAACTGGGGGTAAAATAAAAATTCAGGGGGTACATAAATTTGTACAATATTTATATGAAATTTAAGGATAATTCCAAAATCATACATCAGACAATTATGCTGTTTCCTTCAAGATTCACTAAACCACCCCCCCACCCCCCCCCCATTAAGTAAAATTCATTGTGACTAACACATACTGGCCTATATCTCCATCTCAATTAAAATAACCATTATTTAAGTTATTTAAATTCATAAACAGCATATAAATTGTAACTACACACCTTTGAACAAAACAAAGCTTCCCTTTTGTTGATGTTTTTAATTAACAAAATCGGCATCGCAAAAATATGTGACAAATGAAAGTTCGTCAGTTTTCTGCAGAAACATTCACAATTCCAGTTGTTGCTGATTACAATTATATTAGAATTAATATTTTTTTATATTTTAAGACTGTTTTTCATCGGCTATTCTTACAGATATCGTAAAACAAAAATTTCAAATTTGTAATTTACGGCAATAATTCCCAATGGGGGATCTGTAAACTTCATTGTGAATTCGGAGAATTTCCCACATTTCATCAATTTCAATGCACTTTAAGTGATTTTTGTTTGAGAAATTGCTCAAAAGAATAATTTTTTAATTAAACATGATTAAGTTTCCGACTTTCTGTGCGTATTTTTACCCTCTTGCCTAAATTTCTGTACGTGAATTTTGTTATTTATGCGTAAAATACGCACATATGTGCGTAAATGGGAACACTGACATAAACAAATTGTATAATAAAGCTTGGCAAATACAATCGATTGCCACCGATACCTGTGTTACACCATGGATTTTACCAGTGTTTACAAATTTACCATGACACCGCTTTCCAATATGGCCGCTTTCAATAATTTTCAACGATTAAAAAAATTAAAGTGGAATATTTAGACTTCTGTTCGACTTTGAAGTATGATAATTTGGAACCTTGCATAAAAAACGATTCTCTTTCAGGTAATGTAGACCGTTTCTTTGAAACTTTTCTAGTTTTCGCTCCCAACAACTTCTAATTGGGAAGCGTCCGTGCATAAAAATGCAGTTCGTGGTTGGACTTGGAAAAAGACAGCGCCCGTCCAAAATTATCTCGGTGTCTCTTTGACAAGTCTAATAAGTTGGACTAGTTGCATCAGTAGCCCATGGAATTGGGAAATTTGGTTGCATGGGGGTACATTCAGCAGCATACTTGTTTTTGTTATCATGGAAAAACGTCGGTGCTATGTTTGCCATACACAGAAATATAACCAGATTGTGACACTGGATATATCCACGCAATATTATGAATATATGACACTCAACGGAATAATTTGAGCAAACATTTTCCCCGACACAAATTTCTAAAATAGGACTTAGGGGCCTGAATTTGAAAAAATAATCTATCTTTAATTTGAATCACTTTACCTAATTTCATACTGTTCATGCAGTCTACTTTCGCCATAATTTTTTTTCTATCCCAAATAAATAACAAAGGTTGAAACTGGCGCGTAAATTCCGGAAACCTGGATAATTTTCTTTTCACCGTGCCGAATCCGGACGATATGCTCGATTTATATTTTGGAACATTGTCACCCTGCCTACAAACAGGCAGTGGTTAAGATACAGTATTAGTTGTTACTTTTAAATCTTTCTTTCACCCTTACTAATAAAAATATTTTAACAATGACTAGAAGTTTTCAATGTCTCTCACTGTCCTGATCATGTTCATTTTTCAGGTTTTTACTTTCTCTCACACCTTTCACTAACACACCCGAGGCACAATATTTCCTGCCTATAACACTCGCGAGAGGGGTTGGCAGTACTCAGCTTAGTTAGAAAATTAAGATCATGCAAATGACACTGAAAGGCAGGGGTAAAAAGTCACCATTCAAAATGTAATAAAATTACAAGAATTTAGATAACAAATCATACAGCATAAAAGTAAATAAACAAAGTTAAAAATATCATGACTTTTATAGTCCAATGGTAAAAATGACAAGTTATTAAAAACATGGCAATAAAATAAAAAATAAACTCGTATTTTTCTCCTATAGCATCTCTTTTATCTGATACTTATAATATCCGTTTTGCCTTGCGCAGTCTATATTGGAGACGCGGATTAATCTGGTTCCTTGCCCACAATTACTACTGAAAAATAACTATGGGGAAGGAACTCCAGACTGAAGGCGGGAAAATCATAATTAAGTTCGCGCATGCGTCAAACGTCGTCTGTTTTACATGTTGGGCTAACAAGCTTTTAACAAAGGCAGAAGACACTATAGATCTAAATCAAACTTAACACGTCATATCAATCGAAATACATGGAAAGTAAAACCAAAGATATAATGTGTTCAGCGTGACTTTAGATGTACAAAAGACAAACAAAAAACAATATTTATATATTTGACCAGAAACTTTATTATATATAGCCACCTGTTTGAAATCTAAATGAATATTATAAAGTCTATTACGGTAAAGTTATGATTGAAAATTGTCTTACAATCAAAATCAACTTGAAAAACGCTAAATAATGTACAATTATTAGTAAATCCGAATAAATGTTAACGGGTATACATACATGTATACATGTGTACATTGTACACGTACCTTCGGTTTCTACAAACAAAATAATAAGTATATAAATAATGAACTGTTTTCTTTTATATCTATAAATTTTCTTAATTTATGTGAACTTATAATCTACATATTGGAACAAACTTAGTCAATAACACATCCTTTAGTTATGTGTTTAATTGTTCAGTTTTTTAGCGTAGGTTAGACCTCAATACCGTGTTTAGGTAGATAGGTAGCCTATGCTAAAATTTAATGAGTGTCCATCTGCACCTTCAGGCACTGAGAGTACGGGCCCGGGCATGTTACCAGTCATACCCTTAAAATTGTATTGATATCGAAAGTGGTGACCTATTTGATCTGAATTCAGCAATACATATAGAATAACACCAAAGGGAATGCAACTTTTTTATAATATTTTAATGAAGTGATGCGCGGAAGGCCAATGAGACCATTTAATGCATTTAAATACTATTGTATCCAAGGTTAACGGAAAAGTTGTGAATGACAATAAAATGCAAAATTTTATTTTAAAAAAGCCCATAGAATAGTCATAAAAGATGAAAAACATAAACATATCATACAAATAGAAATCATAGCATTAAGTAAATGTGCATGTTATGGATCCATTAAAAGAGATAGACATAATATGATGTTTTTTATAGAAATTATTGTATTTGAATTTTCCACTGTTTATAAGTAAGAGTAAGTATTGATTAAAATGTAATTTAAATGACTATAATGTCTTGTAGATTTTCTAAATTTCTGTTCATCATCAGTTACTGTTTTGTATTGGATCGCTCATTAGCTTAAAATCTGCTCTCCTTTCCCAGCAAACGTAAGCACACACAAATGCAAACAGGTCATTGCCTTATACGCTTTGAAGCGATTTTGTTATAACCAGACACCTTTGTATGTACACGTTCACTGTATAGGTAACAGAATAATAATATTGTTCTTAAATAACTTTGGATAACTTTACTGTATCTGCATTCTTTAACTGTGACATCATCAATAAATGAAAGAACAAATTCAATTTTATTGCTCCGACACACTGACACAAATTAATCTGTAAATAGAAAAATATAGTGATTACCTTAATTTTTGTATCAGTTTTTTTAAAGACTTTTTTTCAAAGATAAACTATGACATTTAACTATTTTAAAAGTTCTTCTCTGCCGGTTATCTAAAAAGCAAAAACTAATATATAATAATATTTGACAAAGTGCTTATGACACAGCACTAGTTTTTTAGTAAACTGTTTTGAATTTTTAATGTGGCCAACCTCTCAGGAAAAAATATTCTATCTATCAAATTATTCACGAAATATCTGAAAGTAGACCCAATTGTCACAATTGATTTTATATGGCACTGTGCAGTTTTTGGACACTATAAGTTTCAACAACACGAAACTTGAAATTAAAATAGTTTGCAGGCTTGGTGTTATTGAGTATGTTCATGAACGATAATGGAAAACGCAAGTTACCCTCCACGCCCCTAGCAGCTAAAATGTTATTTGATGGAATAATTTTTATCATAATATCAGTTAAAACTGATCACAGTCCCAAAAGTTCGTTCATTGCATATTTTAAAATCAGAAAATCATTTCAATACTTGGACTCATCAGTAGATGTATATAAATGCCAAAAGTAAGAAAGTAGTATTTAACCTTTTACCCCACGAGCATATTGCGAAAAATGGCCGTTTTCATTGAAAAGCCTCCTGTAACAAGTTCAAACTGCTATGGAACTATGAAAAATGCTTCAATACTGATGAAACTTGGCACGAATGTTGACTACACCATAGCCTCTGTAACAGCATGCTCAATCGTAAATTTCCTGTTACAATGGCAACGGGAGGACGTCTCAAAATTGCCAAAAATCACTATTTTGCATTGTTTTTTTCCATCAAAACTGATTTCAAAGTGCTGCAACTTCTCAATGAATTGAGATAGAGTAAAAGGATTTTCAGCGTCGGTTACTAGTTACCCTAAGATCGACCTGAGGCCATTTTTAGCCTGTCACATGTCCAAAATTTTCTTGGCGATGAGGGGGGCTCCACCCCATTCAAAACCCCCAAACAAAAGGGGGCACATCCCCCTTCTGGCAACCCCCTGATGTAACATTTGGATGGGGGACGGCGCCAAAAAAGTGGTCACTTTTTTAACAACATTTCTCAAACGAAAACCAGTGTTTGGGCCTAAATAGGGCATTTTTTCACTGTTTGAGGCCTCAAAAAGGGGGGGGGGGGCAAAAAGCCGTCGAAACACGCTTATATGAGGGAAAAGGTTAAAGAACGAAACCTCCAGTACAATGAAAGAAAAAGGTGACATTTGAACAGTTGCAAAACTATTATTAAACACTAATTTAAGCAATATAAGCGTTCAGCCCAAATAGTAAAATCATTTAAAATCGTTCCATTCTTCTCAAACTGAATGAATTATACAATGATTAACATGTTTCCTATCATACCGATATAGTATCAAACGCACGCACGACATATTTTTATCTTAAAAACAAATCAATCACCATTTAGAGATGTAAATTATAAACTTTTATATATACAGTACATGTAATGCATTTTTAAAATTTAATTGACACATCTCAGATGACCTGATACAAAGAAAACATCCATCAATTAAGGCAGTAGCTAGATCAAGAATAAAAGTAACACATGAAAAATACGTATTAATTGCTACAGTGATGACATATACATGTAATGTTCAGTCTATGCAAAGGCAATGCATATTTACATATATGTTTTTTTATCACAGCAATTTATTTATTTAGCTATTACATGTTCTCACGGCAATTTTTAGCAAGTAACTGTTGTCATGATTAACTTTCATAGGGCAGATGCAGATGAGAGACATATTGTTCAGAATACTTTTGAAATTATATATTATTAAATTAAACAGTACTTTTCAATCAAACAAAATACATGTATGTTATCTAATGAATGTATAGAGTTCTCAATAATATCATTTCTTAAATAAAAAAGTTTTAAATATCATTGTAACTTTATCTGTAGCAATGCCTATCTATTTTGAAAATAATGTGTTGTCATAAAAGATTGACTAATTGCGCCTATAACATATACTCTATATAATCACGGATTTACATTGTAATATAAATCCGTGATATAATTGACTTCCAAAAACATTCTAAAAAAACATCCGTGGCCGAGTGGTAATTAAGGTCGTTGTGGGTTCGAATCCCGACAGGGACTTTGGATTCTTTCATGTGAGGAAGCTTTCCAGCTAGCTTACGGAACGTCGGTGGTTCTACTCAGGTGCCCGTTCGTGCCTGAGGTCTTGCTCCACCAGTGCATGTCGGTGTGACGTAAAACCCAACCAATCAAACAAACAAAAAACATTCCGGTAGTCCTCATCCCGGGATTTACGTAAGCAGCTTTTCAATCAAACACGCCATATATTAACTTCCGGTTTATTGACAGTTGCACAATTGTAAGTAAAATATTTCGTTAGTATCAGTAACGTGAAATACATCTGCAGATTAAAGACAGGATTCCAGAAGAAAATTAAAAGGTGAGTTTACAGTAAGTTGTGCTATTTCAAGTTAGTGTACAAATATGCAAATAAGTTGTGATTTGTAAGTGACTTGTCTACCACAGACACTTGGGGAATTTGGAGCTTAAGACCCCTTTAGAATGTAAATAAAATGTATATTTGTCAATCCCAGCACATGTACTGATCATAATATGAAATTAGGCAAAGCCTATGAACGGGGAAGTCGTTAAAAAAATCCTTTCATTCTTTCCGTTTTAAAGGTGTCATTCGATATTACATACACCGCTTCCGTTTTCACTCGGAACACTCGACGATTATTACTAATCCGAAAAGTTGAGATTTGTTCCGTTATCGGAATACCCCGCCTATTATCATTGACATACATTGTAAATGGCGGCGCCTGACTAGAACTGACACTGAAAATTTCATTGATAGGTAAAGAATTCTATATATTTTTTAATTGTTTTTTATTTGATTTTCTTTTAAATATTCACGTGTAGTCTATAGCCGGGCAAGGCAAAGCCCAGACCCGCTTCGCGGGCCCGGTCTTTGACTTCCCTGTATTATATGAAAAAGGCAAAGCCTTAAAGCGATCTCGATTTACTTTTCAGTGTCTATTCTAGGAGATGGGATGGAGGGATTCACTCATATTTTTGAGAATTCCCCCCTATTTCAGTATTTGTTCAGTGGAAGGGGGAAAATTTGGAAAAGAGTCAACTCGGCCCTATACAAACTCGGCACGGGTCAACTCGGCACGGGTCAACTCGGCCCACTTTACAAAAATATATATAACGTATTAACTTTGCTTTGCATGTTGTTAAGGTAAATGAATAATAAGAAATATCTTATTATTATATAACTATACATTGTACTTCTGCCGAAATAAAGTATATTTAGAAAAAAAATAATTGCAGGTGGTCACTAATGAAATTTGAATGAATGAGTCAATCATAATTATCACCTAATTAATCGGTATCCTACACATACACATTGATTGATAATAATAGCCCGTGACAATAGGAGTCCTTTAATGTCTTTTACCAATTTCATTTAGTTCTTATTTTCGTAAATTTTTTTCCTCTCACTGTATATTTTAACACATTGACACTGAAAGTATAAAAAATTACAGTTAAACCTATCACGAGTCAGAAATACAGTGAGATACGCAATCGGTTATCTTTACTCGCAATTCTACTGATAAGAAAAGCCTGTCTGCTGCTAGTTCGGAAACTGTCAATCCGTGTATTATAAATAATTACAATAATTACAATAAATAGTGATAACACAAACCTAAATATTAATAATTGAAAAGTGGGCCGAGTTGACCCGTGCCGAGTTGGTATAGGGCCGAGCTGACTCGGGGGCCGAGTACGTTTTAGGACCCAGATTCGGAAAATTTTGAATGGAATTATGGTGGTTTCGTCTAACAACCGGTTCGGCGAACTTAATTTATGAAGAGGTGCAAAAGTGGTTTTGTCGATCTTATTTTATATAGGCAAAGTAGAGAAGCAGTCTAAATACCATCCCTGCTATAGAAGGAAAAAAAGCCCTGCACTTATTATACCACTTGGTGATGCCACCATTGCAGTTGTTGACTTGTAATTGAATTATTGCTCATGTTTTATTTTTAGATATGCCAAAGAAATTCAAAGGAGAAAACACAAAGGCTACTGCCGCTAAAGAAAGGCGGTCTGCCCAGCAGGCCGAGATTCAGGCCAAGAAACAGAAAGATCAAGAAGATGCTTACTGGGCAGATGATGACAAACATGTTGCTAAGAAACAACAGAGAAAGGTTTGATAAATATGTTGTTTTCTAAATTTCTATACTGTAACATATCCCATACATACGTACAAGTACATACATATTGAAATGTTTTCATTGACAAGTACAGAGAACACTTCATAATGCCTCTAGAGCTATAAACCATATAAACTATGCACAAGTGCCAAAATTAAAATGTCTCGTGGTGTGAAAAATGTGCAAAAAATTGCTTAACATAGCTTGGTGTATATTTCACGGATAGGAACCCTAGAACAGCAATGAATTTTTTTGACAGCAACAATTGCATACTGGAATAGAAAAATGTGATTGCATACCGGAATAAAATGTTTATTTTCTTAACTGTTTTAAGAGCACCATTGGAAGCTTTACTCCTGTATTTCACAGAATGGTAAAAGTTAATTTCACTGCAAACAAGTTTATCAATGGCAGAGATGATAAAAATGTTTAAACTGTTTTCTTTGATTATTTAAATTCAGTATTGTTGTCTTTATTGAGGCGAATTCAGTAGATAGGCATGTTCCTAGTTGCAAAATAGCCAACTGTATTCCCAAAATATAGTGTACAATAATCCACTATAACTACAAGAATAAACTATTTGGCTGTTGTCTCTAATTTATTTCCCAATTAACATTTAAAAATGTTTAAAAAAAATCCCAATTGAGCAGAACAGACTGGGGGAAACACATACAGAAACATATTTATGACTATGTCATGTTCCTTTTCTTATAGGAAGAAAAAGAGAAGAAGAGACTTGAGCAGCTAGAACATAAAAAAGAGCTAGCTAAACTTGCAGAGGAAGAAATGGAGTGTGTCAAAGCATCAAAACCTAAAACTGCTCAGAAAATGTCTCGTGCTCAGATCGCAGCGCAGCAGGAACAATTGAGACAGGAAGCTGCAGCAGGTCTTACTAGATTAAACATTTTCATTTGCTGAGGTTTAACACTTAACATACTGAATTTATGTATTGGATTCCATTTGCCAAGTTTTGAATTTACAGTCTGTGAATTTAGCAGTAGCCCCCTAGCCCACGGCTAGTAGAATTAGAGTCGGGCCTGTAGAATTTTTCAGGTAACTACGGGCCAATTTGATAAAACCTAGACAGGTTTTTGACACCAATTTTCTGAAAGAAAATGTGAATTTACATAGGAAAAACTGTTTAATTTTGATACATTGAAGAGAATTAGAAAGCTACTACTGTATTGTGGGAAAAGTAAATTTCGGCTCAAAGTTTTCGGGAGGGTATAAAATTCGCGGTGACGTTTCGATCCGTAAATTCATCTTTTAGGCGAATTCAGTAAATAATTTCCTATAATAGCCATTTTTTCCAAAAAAGTGACAACAGTCCCAAAACTTACGAATAAACAGTATGTGTATGCTTTACAAATTTCAATTTAAATTTAGTTAATTGTGTTTATTTCCAATTAAAAAATGGAATCATTACAAATGTTCATGTTTCCTTTTTTTTAAGGCAGAAAAGCAAAACATGCTCTGATCAGATGTAAAGCGTTAAACTGCAAAGGAAGAAAATTAAATCACCTAAACTGCCAAAAATTTTTTCGTCTCTATAATATGCCGCAGGAAAAATGACGACTCAGCGTCTTACAGATAAATTTTCATTTGCTATTAAAAAGCTATGAATCCTACGATTGATTGCCAAATGAATTTACATCTTGTTAAGCAAGTAGCCCTACCGCACGGCTAGTAGATTTTTGGCAGGGCCTGTAGAATTCATAACTAGTCGCAGAATATTGTTTATAACCAATTTTGGAATGCTGTTTATGGAAAATTTTTCATCGCGAATAAATACACATACACTAATTTGTCATTATTCTTGACTTAAAGTTTCAAAGTTTAACATTAAAGGGCTTGTTAAAACCTATTCAGGCTAGTAGATTATCGAGAAACCCTAGCCTGAAAGGCTTGTGGTTTTCTGGCCCTAAAATATTAATTTATTTTCTGTCACAGCTCAAGCAAAAGAGGATTCTAAAGTACATCATGAGTTACCTCTAGAGGAGAATGTGAACAGACTAGAACCTGAAGGAGAGGAAGCCAGATCTGTTGAAGATGCCATTGCTGTTCTAAGGTATTAATTCACATTCTTAGACTTAGATGTTAATGCATGAGATTTATAAGTTTCACAGAGTAGTGGTAATGGAATTTGTTTTTAGGCAATTACTATATGTGATCTACCATACATACAGCAGACCTTTTTTTCAACATTTTGGGAATGCTGCCAGCACAATTGAAATTGGGGAAGAAAGTGCTTAAAATCCAAATTGGTCATTTTCCAGTGACTTAAAGGCCCATGATGCCTCAAAATTGCTATCAATTTTCTCAAAAACTTTTTATTTTTGGTATCTTGGAATATACTCATTTGCTATATATACTTGAACTATGTTTTGCATCTTTAGTTCTGTTGACAATTGAGGGATTTCATCCAAATTTTCAACTGTTATTGTCAAGTACATTGGCTTTGCAAAATTGATCATTTCTATGCTCAAAAAAAAGGGGGGAGCATTACAGCCATTGCCTTTTTTGTCCATTTGTCCGTCCGTCATACTTTTGCCACAGAATAACTTGAAAAGTATAAAAGGTAATTGATTAAAATTTCATCAAGTGATAAGGACTAGTTAGAGAAAGTGGAGTGTTTACTTGACTTTGAAATCTATTTCAGTGTAAAAGAAGCGGAACTTGAAAAACACCCTGAGAAGAGGATGAAGGCAGCCTTCCAAAAATTTGAAGAGGAAAATCTCCCCATTTTAAAACAGGAAAATCCTAACATGAGACTCTCACAATTAAAACATATGTTGAAAAAAGACTGGATGAAATCACCTGCCAATCCCATGAATCAAAGATTTGCAGAATATAACGAAAAGCGATAGCATGCTTAAATACTCTGTTAAAATGAAAGTGAATGTGGAATGTTGTTAGAGAGTAAGATATGTTGTACAACACTATGGAATTCAGTTACAGTTTATAAAAAGATACAGCAGCCATTATAATTCTGTGAAGTTTCAGGTCGCAGCTCATTTTGTCACTTTTGTCTTATGCAGATCAGTTAAGCCTCTTTGTGAATTTGAAATTCTGAGAGCTTCTCTATGATCAAGACTCACAAAAAGTTTGTGACTCCGTGTAACAAAGTGGTTGATAGCTTATCATGCATTAGTCAATTTTAACACCTATCCCACAATAACAGTGGGTAATTGCATCTATTTTCTTAACTCGCAAGAAATTACACGAGTTGAATTAAATATGCTTGCAATAAATAATACGTTATACAGAAGTATCAGTACCACACAATAACATTGAATTATAATGAGTTGCAATAATTGATACAGTGTGGTGTGATGGGTCCTTAACCTGGGATTTTATAGTAGCATTTAAACTTCTAAAATTAACTGTTTGTCTGCTGGCAGCACCTGATGTTGCTCATGCCACCATTGGAGACCAAGATCAGCTGGCAACTCAGTGCAGTCTTATCATTGCACTATTTGTATACTGTCACTACATATTTTGAAGGTTTCCCTGAAAATGATCGATGATTATTGATTTTGTTCAGATTAAAAGATTGAGGAGTCCATTTAAGATATTTAATGTGGTATGGGTTAATACTTGATACAGAGGGTATTGTAGTTTATCTATTTTACGCTACTAGTACATCATGGTTGCTGATTATTTGCTTTAATGACAGTTTTGCCAGTTGAAGTTGTTAGGTTTTTTTTGGTTTGTCTATTTAGGATTTTTTTTTACAAATTTTGAACAATGTATACGAGCAGATATTAGATGTATTTAAAAATATATAAAATTTCATTGAATTTTAAAATTATGGTTAAATGTAACTTTCAAACTTTGTTTTAGGAAATTAAGAAATTAGAATAAAATGAAAATGGCTGGAAAATAATATAAAATTGTCAAAACTTTATTGCTTGTAAAAGAGATTGTAAAACAGAAAATCTATCTGTTGTGCCCAAAACAGTGTTGTATTATACATGTACTTGTACATGTAATGATGATAGAAAAAGTGCTTTTATCACAATTGTGTAAAACTAGGAACAGAATTGAACTGTTGGTTAGATAAAATGTTTATACATTTTATAATTTGTGAATAAAGTCATTAAGTTTTATGTGTTGTTTTTTTGCATTAATATATGAGCTACAGATAATACTTGCAAAGATGAATGTAAGTGTAAATACTGGTAGGTACATTCTTATCTACGGAGTTGAATTGATAGCAATAAGAATATTTTTCACCTCAAAAACTGGCAAAATTTTGACTCGTCTATTTAGAATTGTTATTTTAACTAAATACAAAACACCGCCCAGTATTAAAATATTAGATTTAATTTACTGCCTTGACTTGGCCAAATGATCTAGATCCAATCATTGGCTGTAGTGTAACAGCCCTTTAAAGTTTTAAACACATTTATACATTTTCCTGTATGTAGGTGTATATAAAATAAAGTGATCGGTGGGACAGGGCAGAGGGCTTGATTTATACATCTATAACTTCTGTAGAGTGCAACAAGGTAATGCTCCGTGTAGTTTCTGAGATTTTTCAAGCGTGTTTCGTATACATGTATAAGCTACTATACATACCTGTGGTCAGAGATATTTTGACAATCCGGGTATGATTCACAACACTTTTATTTATAACAGAAAGGATAACGGTAATACTCTAAACCAAATACTCAAGCATTGTAGATTTTTGGTTTCCGAGATTTTAAAAGCTTCCTGTGCAAGTGACCCTTTAAGGAGATAGTTAAAAAATAATTTCATCACAAAAAGCCAATATGAAATGTATGCAGAAATTGTTCATACTAATGATACTATTTATCACACACCCGTGCCGATTTTGCGACTCCGTAAATATGGTATTGCACGGCCGTGCATATATTTTGACGTGACGTCATTAGCGTTATACAAACATAGTGTAAAGACGCGCTAAATGTTAGCGTTATACTATAGGCGCGTCAATGAAAAATGACTCTTATTTCACTTAAAACGGTCTTTATTTTGGGTATGTGATAAATAGAATATTAAATTCGTGTAAGTTTATTACTGAATTTATTGCACTCGTTGAATAAAATAATATTATGCTCGCCAGAGGCTCGCATAATATAATTTTATTCAACTCGTGCAATAAATTCAGTATTGAACTTACCCTCATTCAATATCCTCTATGTATTGGGTCCTTGTAAGCCTGGATTCCAATCATTATAAAATCAAGAAGTATTCAGTTCTGATCAGTCTCTACTGTTGGCCTCTCAATTTTGGTATTTTTCCATCAACTTACACAATAGATTAACTGCTCCAAATTCCAAAGCAAGACATTTCCATACACAATTCATTATAGTACAGGTTTAAAACTGTCCAAGGAGCAGCATGCTCCACTTTTCTGATTGCAGGATAGTAAACAGCACAATTTCTTAAAATAATTAATTTGAATTTACGGTCATGTTCACTGATCCTTTAGATTAAAACTGTATGGCGAGGATTCATCAAAGAATGTAATACCTTTGTCACTCACTGCACTTCCATTGTATGGCCTGTTTTAATATCTTTCAGTTACAGTTCTAAGTAACCTGGACCTTTGACCTGATTGTGACAGGTAGAACAAATCCATCCAGATCCATACATACAAAAATGAAGTTTCCAGATCAATGTACATTTATTTAATGGGCAGTTTTATTATGCTCCCCGAAAAATTTCGGGGGAGCATATAGTCGGCGCCTTGTACGTCTGTCCGTCCGTTTTCTTGTCCGGAGCATAACTTGAAAACCCTTGGAGATAATTTGTTTAAACTTCATACAGTGGTAGAGGGCATTGAGGGGGAGTGCAGTGTCAAAGAACCATAACTCTATTTTGCTCGGTTTTTTAATTATCTCCCCTTATAGAAAAATCTTGTCTGGGGCATAACTCTAAAACTATAAGAGATATCAACATGAAACTTTGTAGGTGAATAGATCTCAATGGGTAGATGTGCAGTGCATAAGACCAATAACTCTTTTTGTCCTAATTTTGGAGTTATTGCCCTTTGTTAATTTCAACACTTTGAACTTTGTCCGGAACATAACTCTAAAACTATAAGAGATATCAAGATGAAACATTGTAGGTAGATAGATCTCATTGAGTAGAAGTGCAGTGCAAAAGAACCATAACTCTGTTAAGCCTCATTTTTGAATTATCTCCCCTTATAGAAAAATCTTGTCTGGGGCATAACTCTAAAACTATAAGAGATATTTATTCGGGGAGCATCACCCGGCTCAAACCGGGCTCTTGTGTTTTATTATCACAGGTCCAGATGACCTTCACCTTTTGACCTGGAAATAGGGGAGACCAATGCGACTTTGCTGCCAAGTGGGTCATGACAATAGCTCTTCTTTTTCTTCAAAAAATGGAGCTATAAATGAAAAACAAGATGAGTAAAAACATGTAGCTAAACATGAAAAACAACACGGGTAATGTAGAGGGGATAGTTTTACTACATAAATCAACACGTGTATAATTTAAATAAATCTGAAGAAGCTAATATAAGAACAACATCAAACCTGAAAATTATCTAAAAGGAAAGAAAAAGACAGAATAAAATTCCTCGCAGTCTCTTGTAAATCCTTTCTTTGTTTTTTGCATGTTGATAATATTCTTAATTCCTTACATAAAAATAATGCCAGATACTTTTCACCAGACTGTGAGAGTCAAAAATTCTTGTATTCAAATAATAGGAATTAAGTAAATGAAGATTTTTTTTCTTTCCTTGAAAGAATTGCAGAATTGTTTTGAAATCATTACTTCACACAAATCATTGATTCACAGCTACAAGAAGTTTGAAAATTATGCTATATAGTACCCTTACACCACACATTTATAAGTAACTTTTTATATTATATTTGTTTTATTGAATACATAAGAAAACATTTAACATTCATGGAATTAGATAATTTACTTGAGACAAAGATTTTAGAAAAAGAAAGAAAAGAAAATACAAATAAATGCTCGATAAATAAATCTGCAGGGTATTTTAAACTTTGTGGTTTTTATCATTGACAAAACTGTTTCTGAAAAATGAAAATTCACTTTAATATCTTCTTTTAAACCACATTATTATCAAGTCAGTGATTCATTCATGCAAATTGCTATAAACTTGAGATTAAATTTTAACAAAGTTGGACCCTTACCTTTGAGATACCTTATTGCACAAGACATTAGTTTTATTTATTTTTCATTGTCTAAGGGAGGTATTTTTTTTTTTACTAATCTATGGCAAAGGGAGGTAATCTTAACATTTTTTTTAAATATTCAGTAAGATAGTAAAATTTACTTAAAGTGTAAAAATGAAACATATTCCTAATATTGCTAGCCAAAAGTCAATTGAAAGTAAAGAACAAAACATCTATGAAAAGACTTGAGTTAAATTATAAAGAAAAATATAAAAATTATGAACACTTGTTAGTTCAATTAATACCATTAAGAATATTGAAGGGTTATTTGGCAAGAAATAGAAAATATGGAATGATAAAAAAACATAGAATAATTTTGGCAAAACTGACAGAAAAATTACAGACAGGACACAATGACAAGAACATTTTCCACAGGTGACATTTTGAATGTAATCATTTATGAATCTGCTTTGCTAATGCAGTAAAAATAAATTCTATCAATCCTTTAAGAAAATTTATCATCAATAACACAAATTACATGAAAATTGTCCATTGTTTTGACTAAAGTTAAAATATACAAAGCCAGGTTGGCGTAATTTACAATAAAATTCTATAGTAACTACTTACATGAAACATTCCTAGAACTGTCAACATTTACATACTAAGTGTAACCAGTTGAATATTATCATCAGATGTTATATTGAACAAGACAAATGTGGGTTTTTCAAAGCTTATCATCTGGTACAAACAAAATTTTACTGTATTACCTTCACACGGCACTACTGTTCACAATAAAAAATTTAGCATGGTGCACTTTTTTTGTTTAAAATGTTTGTTTGTACACTTTGATTATGATTAGCTGGGACAATCCAAAGCATTTTTAATTCCAAAGTAAGTTTATTAAGTCAGAAAAAAATGAAATGTTTATATGAAAGCAATGCAGGGTATCAAAAATGTAGCTTCTTTTACTCATTTTTGTGCGCATGCATTTGTTTGGATGTAGATTTCCTCCTATAATCCATGAAAAGAATACTTGTTTCCATGGTAACAAAAAATCTATAAGACACACTTTCTTTTCTCACCTAACAAAAATTTCTCTGGAATTTATACTAAAGGATGCAACAATCTCTAACCTTTTTTTATTTTAATAAAAACGTCTGTTTCAACTGTATTTAAATATTTTGAATAAATTAACACAAACTACAAGTAAATACACAATCAGGTATGAAACACGAATCAACTCAGATCTTTATAGAAATATATTGCTTATATCCCATAGCCAACTAGTAACCAAGCTATTTTTATTTATTTAGCACTTAAAGCAATTTTCCCCCCTTTGAAAATGAAACAAAGTTTCAGTTCAAAGTAAGAGCCTATTTATTTCACAATTACACAAAAGTCAAAAAGCCAAATCAAAATGAAAAGATAATAAAAATTGCCCCATCTCACAAAAGTTCTCTTCATTGCACTTTATGAACAAAAAAATAAACTTTTTTAACAAACAGAAAAATAAAGACAAAACATACTCCTAGCCCTTTAGTAAAACTCAATTCTGACACCAGTCTCAATACATTTACAGAACTTGATTGGCTTATTTCAAATTCCTCATTTGAATTGACCAATAAAATAGCTGCATACAGAGCGACTGGTCCCCCTATCTCAGTTATATACACTTAGGGCATTCCAAATATAAAAGGAACCAAATACAACAAATGTGGAGATCAGTTGAAACCAAACATCCATTATACATGTATTCCAATATCAATCAATCAATGTTTTTTATTGATTCTCAAAATTTTTTGTTTGCACAGCTAAAAAAACAAATAACTTTTTTTACCAGACTGAAACAGAAAGAAGACAAGTTATTAAAGGTGTCAACAAATGAAGAGTTATCTTTGTTTAACACATTTGAATAGCTTTTCAAGATTTTTTTTTCAAAATAAAGATATGCAGTCTTCCACATACTCACATGTATATAAAAACTACAACAACAACAATAACAGAAAATTTGTTAATAAGTGGACACCAGATGGGGAAAAAAGATCAAATATACAATGTTGTTTTAAATATGGGTTAACAAAGCATGCATTAAATAATTTCTACACCATTTTAATGATACAAAATGAGACATGTCTACAGAAGATTGAAAATCGAAAATTAAGCATTTAAATTCTATACAAAATAACACAAGTATAGGGCTTAGCTTACTAAATACTTAGATACAACAGATTCATCTGGAGATTTAAAAGTTAATTTTTTCCTGCAATTCTTTTTTTTTTGGTATAAACTAGTGTCTAATATGATGAATGAGTCAATGTAAGTGGATAAAATAGTGTGTGTGTATATTATTAAAACCGATACCTTTTTTTTTTTTTAAAAAAACCAGTTCCACCATTGAATGACAAGAATTTTGCATTGCAAAATTGTTGTTTTTTCTTTATTTTGAACCAATCAGATTCTATTTCTATGACAGTCCCTAGTATCAACATGTATAATTATGACTGAGTGTAATAATGCATCAAGTGACATTTGTCAAATATAATACAGTATAGTAATGTGGCTAATGATATTATATTCCATTTTATGCATCTGTTGCACACTGCTTCAGGTATAAATGTCAAAGTTACAAATTTCTCGCATTACAAAATAATATACATGTATACTATAAAACCATTTAGCGGTGAAATCCAAGTGGATGCATTTAACCGACAAGTGAGAAATCACTTTTTTTTCAAGTTAAATCTTTTTTATGACACTAATAAGTTTACAGGACTGTTTGTTTTATTTGCAAGTAAGAATGAACACTTTTCCTGAAACCTGTCAACAAGAAACAGATCTGTTTGAACAATGTTCTATTACAAAAAAAAACAAAAAAAACAACAAGAAAAAACAACCAAAAGCATTTGTTACTGGATGGGCAAACACTGAGATTTTCTTCAAAGAAATTCTACAGAAATTTAAATTGGAGTTGATTTCTATATTCAAACTTACATAATTTCACAACAAATTCAAATGTTCATGCAAAACCAGTACCCCATTCCTAAGCATCAAAAAATTATATTTTAATTATTAAAATTGAATAAATAAAACAATAAATGCATTTACTATTTAGTATATCATCAGACGACCATAGACATATCTTTGAGCAATTATATTATAAGTGAATAGGAAGAGATGATTGGATATGATATATATATTGTCCCACGTCGGTCATAAACACACTACACCAGAGTACATTATTTAAATAAAGTGATGAAATCTCAATTCATCATTTACATCGAAATTAATTTTTTTAATTGACAGAGAAAAAACAATGCCAAATTTTGAACATTTTCTTGGTCTAACAAAATTATATCGGACACAAAATTTATTTATCTTGAACATTTTCTTGGTCTTACAAAATTATATCGGACACAAAATTTATTTAGTATCTGTAAAAGTAACAAAAATAATAAATGTTTACATTTTTACAGCAAAATGGCATCTTTTCACCACACGTCACATAAAAGTTTCAACTCGACAAAAAATAATCTCATTTGTTACTGTTCATTTAACTTCAAAATCAACAAAATTTCAACATAACTACATGCTTCTATTACTAGAATGATTAAATAAGCACCTAAACAAAATTGAACCCATGTTTCTAGCCCTGAACATCCAACAGATTATTTTCAAAATGCCCTTAACACAAATGGTCACGTAAGTGCAGTAAATGGATAACTCCTATTAAATCATATAAGGAGTTATTCCTTTACTGCACTAAGGTGACAAAATGTACTAAAATTCTATTTTATCTCAATATAAAACATATATTTTTTTTTACAATTTTGATGAATTTAGTTGTTACAAAAACACTTCCAGTAAAAAGTTAATATTTATAATTATATTGCAGAAAAGTCTCCCTCTCAAAACAAAAATCTTATGACTACCTTAAACTCCATTAGAAAAATTCAAAATCTGAACAGAAAAACAAAATTACACTACTAACCATCAACATCTATTCAAGGTGAAAATTAAACATTCTTTAGTTTATCAAAAGTGATATTATAGTTCATATATTATAAATATTGCTTCTATACAGAATGGGTGCATCTTTATACAGAATCTTCAGAATCTAATCAGTCTTGGAACTGTTGATAATGCGTTGCCTAGCAACGTCTGCTGCCATTTCTGTAGCTTCACTTGACATGACGTCGGATACTGAAATATTACAATAAGATCACATTTGAAAATAAACTATTTTTAGATTATTCATATATTATATAATCTCTCATTTAACCTTTCACCTGCTGGAACTGAAAATTGCTTTGCCACCAGTGAAGAGCCAGGCCAGCCTGCACAACCATGTACTCTGACCAGGCTCTATACTGTTGGCTGACCAACCTTGATTCATCTTGATATCCCAAAAATTGATCATGGATAATTTGAACAATTGAAGGTGAACAAGTCCATTAAATTCAGGTAAAGTGTTAATATGATAGTTACATGATGTATACTTAAATACTTTGTGGTTCTTAATATCAAGGCTTTTTTCACCTTTCTTCTAAAAATTCATTTTGAAGACTGAATCCAGATTTCAATAGGTAAATTAAGTACAAAATGCAAAATCAAGACTAGTTTCCAGTCAAAATATTTTTTATTTTCAAAATTTTCACATTATATGTATTTACATATATGTACTAAATGCAAAACTAGATTCTTGTTTTAGAATATATTACAGAAGATTACAATGTAAATTTGAAATTCTGTCTAACAAGTACAATACAAGTATATATTATATTCATACTTAAATTACTATATGCAATATCATATTATAGGTTGTATGCATGATTTCCTAATTTTATGGATGATAAATCAGGTATCAGTAGATGCTGAAACCTTTTTGATGATTCTCAGAAATTTCTACAAACTGAAAACGTTTCACACTTAATTTTAGACCACAAGAAACTTTTAACTTATTCTTATTCAGAAATTAATTTTTAATAATTTTTGACTACAATTTTTATAAACATTCTTTACATATTTTTAGATGTCAGACATGCAAATATGATAACACAGTAAGTTTAAGTACACATACATGTATGCATTTCCTGATTAGTTATATAGTGCATGTCAGGGCAGTAGGTGCATAAATACATGTATATATCCATCGTCAATCATTTAATTATGTTATATGCATGAAGATAATTTGGAATGAAATATCTTTGGGAAAAAGGACAATTTTTATTCCTTATTTCCATTTCATTTCAACAAAATCTTTCCAAAAAAATAATGTAGTAATATTGAAAAGTAAAAATTCTCACAACTCAATAATTGTTTTACATGTTATATGCAATAAATGACAGATTTTATAGTATTTATAAACATATTTCTACTGTGTGAATAACACAGTAAGGACTATTTTTGCATATGCTTATTTATTTATGGTAGTTTTTAAGAGCTGTTTGCAATGTAAAAATTATTTACAGTAATTGTTAATTTTAATTTTTTATGAACATTAGCAGCAATCTGGGAACATGCTGCTTTAAGACCACTAAACTTACAGAATTTGGAAGGAAAATCAGAGATGATTTAAATTTTACTCAAATACAAGAAACTACAATTCAGCTAACAATAATTTTACATAATCATAACATGAACCTGCATCCCAATCAGCCACATCTTTACAGAAATTGGATTTCTGCCATCAAATTTCTGTCTAAGTACAGGGCTGCAATATTCACTGTTTACAAAATTAACTGTGTTATCATAAATAAATATCTGTGTTTTTCTTTATTCATGATACACAGGAAATTGGTTTCAAGTAAACAACAATGTACATGACTTGTGTAAAATCTAGATATCTTAAAAACAGAATTTGATATAATCATAGATAGTAATTTATTGAGGCAGTTTAATAATTTGTGTAAACAGTTCAACTCATAACATTTGAACTATGTACCTCTTCTTTACATGAAAATGATTTTTTCCCAGCCATGTAATGCTTGTTCTTAGTTAAGTTAATACATTAATACCTGTCAATCTGCCAGGTGATGTAGATAATGAAACATGGCAACTTAATTTGATAGTATCTAAAGGAAAGCAGGAAAAAAATAAGAACAGCATAGATCAAAGTTTTTGACTATAAATTATTTTCTATATAAAACCATAATGAAATACATGTAACATATTCAAAACTCCAAAATGGAAATTATACAATGTTCCTTTCCATATGCAATAATGTTTAACTTTTAAAACATCTTTCTAAAATAAGAAAATAAAAAAAAAAAACTCCCAAAAAAATTCATATGGGGAAATAAATGATGGAAACCTTGAAGTTTGTCATTTTTGAGAAAGCAGATGAAAAGTAAAATACAGCAAAACAAAGATTGATTAAAATAATTAATATTCAAATACTTATCTAAAACACACCTTATTATTTCCAGAACCCCCCCCAAAGATTTGCTGTTCAAATTGCGTGCCTAAAGAAATGACTAAAATTCATGACTGCATTGGAATTTGGTAATAAACATCATTTTTTATCTCTATTTTTGGATTTAACAATGTTTTTTTGGGGGGACAACAAAGCTTCAACTACAAATTATCCGTGTAACACTAGTTCATATTATAGAAGCAAATGTGCATGAAACATTCTTTTTTCTGTAAAAGTCAAACATGAAATGCAGAAACAATGCAGAATCACACAAACTTCAATAACTTACACTGGCTCAATTGAAAAGATTCATTAACTGGACAAAATGTGAGGCATTTCTTACTAGTTATAAACAATATATGATTCTAATAGGACAAATACTTCTCATTCTTGCATATCAGACAAGATTTTTCTAATGGTTATTATACTGGTGCTTAAAAAACTCATCTTACCAGCACCCTATGTAAGACACGTCACGTTTTTTTAAAAAAAAAATTGTCACTTTAGTGCATTTTATGAACAAATGGCACACTTAAAACAATATTATTTGACTGTCATGAATGAAGTTCATATGCTATAATAAGGAAAAGGTGCTGCATAAAAATATTAGATTTTTGTTATTTCTGACATTTGATTTATGCATTATTTGCATGAAAAAGTAGAAAACACTGACTAAAATATGCTTTCCAGACTTACCAGGATTGGTATTTTTAGGGATACCATGGTTGTAGCCCTAAAACAGAGCTCAAAACCATCAGCCCATGGATGAGAGACAGAAACTTTATCCATTAAATCAATCCTCCCCCATTTTTCCTTTACTTTTCTCTGAATTATCCAATTTATTTTCAACTTGCAAAGTAACTTGCTAATTTCAGAAGATGTAACTTTTTCTTTAGCAATTGTATATGCCTTTGACAAAAGTTTACATGCAAGACAATTTATAAATTTGGAGATAAGAATTATTACCAACAGTCCTACAATTTTCAGACCACACCTTTCTTCACAATAAACTTATACATCTGGGTACACATACACTATACATGTATATATAATCTAAAGCTAGATTTGATCACACACTTTTGAAGTTCTTTGACAGTTTTTCTATGTGCAGAATAACTGTACTAAAGTTTAAATAAGACAACCATAATTTTACATTTCTCAGAAGGAACCTTTTTGCAGAGAGTGATATGGATTACTGGTAAATTTTAAGTCAATTAATTTTTAAAAGTGCTCATGAAGTTAATGACTGTTCTCCATTTATAACCTGTCAGACCTAAACCTAAGGTATTTTTGTACAAGATGTACCGATGTTACTTGTAACACCCCTGTAGTCTTGCTCAAGTGCTTGGAACCACATAGTACCAGACAAAACATTTTTCACACCATTTTTTCTCTCAAATTGATGACAGTACCAATCAGACAACATATGGAGCAGGTGGCCATGCAATAATCATTTCTAGACAACAAATCATGGAACAAAACCTACATTATATCACAATGATACAGGTCTTACTTGTAGAATATATTAATTACTACATCAATGCATAATAATATACAAGTATATCAAATGCATAATTTAATTTATTGAGTCGAAACAACAAACCTGTTTCAAATTCACTATGGAATCAGGAATTAAACTCAATAGTTAGATTATTCAAACTTATTAGAACGATAAAGGAACTCAATTGTTGAAACTTGAAAATAAAAATCAGTTTTCCTAAACCCAAATGCCAGGTAAAATGGTTAAGTATAACAGGAGAGTAAATTTTGCAACAAAACTCACCTTTTTGCTTTGCTATACCAAAAACTTTGATTGGGAGGAAAAAAGAAAGTGATATTCAATAATCTTAGGTGACAAAATAAACATCTAAATAAAAGGTGCAGTAAATATTGTGTAGCTTAAACCAAATGGTAGCTGTATATATCCCAAATGGGTTGAGACATGCTCTAGTTTCTCTGTGAAATGTATTCCTACATGTATATGTGCACACCAACATATTGTCCATTATCTAAATTTTAATATATTCAAGGGTCACATGTAATAACAGTTAAAGTCCTACATCTTGACCTTCAAAATATAGTAACATAGGCATTGAGGCTAAGAAAAGCTGTAACAACATGCCCATAAAGGCTTAACAAAAATATTAAATCAAAAACATAAAAAAATATCTTCAGACTAAATTTTGATAATCCTTCCCTCACAAGAATGAAATAGAACAACATCTTTAAGCATGTAATTTGAGTCATGGATCCGATCTTTATAAAACAACATCCAAACAAACTAATTGTCATAATTTACATTTTGTTTACACAAAGCATAAAAAACACTATAAGACAACACATATTTGTTATCTATCAATCTTCAAAACAATGTGAAAATCTAGAGTAAGCTTTATTTTCCTGTTGTTGTTTTTTTCACTCCAGATTTAATTTCCATTTCTTTTGTCCAACTTTCAGTCCCAGTTAAACAAACATTAATATTAAATACATATATATTGGAAGACAGTCCTAATCATCACTTGAGAATTACATACCGCAGTATTTTTCAAAGACCTAAGTATCTGTAAAATCTCTTCAAACAATTCATGGTGAGGAAAATCATGTGTTTTGCTTCCAACAGATTTAATTTTTAAAGATCATATAACTTCTATGCTCAAATCAACTTTGGGGGACTGAAATAACTTATGCATCCAATTTGCTGTGGAGCATTAAATTAAAACCCCTCTCATTTATTCAACTTGTGTTGTAAAAAAAATTGTATCTAAAAACATCTATAAGTAAACACATTCTTAAAAGTGTTAACTAATATATATTTACCATCTTTGAGTTTATCGTGGGCTTTATCAAGAGCAGCATCTATTTTCTTCTGGTGTCTCAGAACGAATGGTCGGATGATCCGGTTGTAGATCATATCTGAACCGTTCCACGAGGCAGAGCACATACACCATATGAGGAAAATACACTGAAAAACATAATAGAATACCAATTCATTATCATCATGAAAACTCTTAAAACTGGTGTCTACACAGTTATTACATGTATTCATTTTACAGACAGAAATACATACCAATCCAAATATATGGACCGCACACATTATTTAACAAATATTTTCAGAGCTCAAAGGCCCAACTGGACTATAAAAGCCAGCAGATGGCGCTAGGGCAGGTTTCCTATTAATTTTATGCATGCTTCACTTCAGGGACCCTTTTTCAAAGATTTAAGATTAATTACCAAATGCATTAAAACAACACTTGGCATGTATGTAGGCATAGATAGTTTTGATAAAGATTGACCAAAATTATTCAAAATATATCTTTGTTTAGTGTATTTCAGGAAAAAAATACTGGCTTTCAAATTTGAAATTTGAATTTCTCTGGGAGGAGCCATGTGATCATTACAGGTCATGAACCTTCAGTGGTAAACAGAAGCACGTGGCAGTGTTTATTTCAGTGAGAGAAATTTGCAGCAGACGATATATATTTCAGGGAGCAGACGACACATTGGAATGCTGAATACATAATTAGAAAAAAACATTAACTTTTACTGACCTTGCTTTATCAAAAAGTATTTATATCCAACAAATTTACAATAATCCATTAATCTATGTTTTTTTTTTAATTTCAAAGTACTGATTTAACTTGTATTTGAATGGTTTAAACTTCATGAAAACAGTAAAAGTAACTTTCAGGTATATTTCATTTTCACTATATTTTGTTGTAAATATCTTGTAGTCAAAAATTACATTTCACAAATGTTAATCAAACTAAATGTTGCATATGTATAAAAAAAATTTATACATAAACAGTTTGAAAATATTTTAAATTCCTGTCAAGAACATTTTCTTAAAGGAAATGTCCCATGTAAGGCACATCCTTTGGATTTGGATATAATTGTCTGACTTGATGAAGGACACATACAGCATTCCAGTGAGAAAAAAAGAAAAACAACTGACTTCAAAAATAATATCTGGACAATTAATGTGAGTTATATAAAACATCCATTAAACCTCTCCTGTATAAAATCAGCTGTTTTTGTTTACATTCTCTCTGCAGGTTAACACTGCATGCTATTTTTAGCTAGGGGTTCATAACAGACAGTTTTATCACTGACTAGTCACACCCACAAATACTCGCTGCCGTGGCAGCGAATGTTGCCCCTTTAAATAATAGTAGTGAGTAAATAGTTGGAACTAAAAAATGTTTTTGTTTGTACATATCACAACTTGTATACTTATTAGATAACATTTCATTTTTAAGGAAACAATAATAGTAAATTCAATGAATAGATTAGTTGAAAATCTTTCTTCTTTTAAAATTCTAATTCGCATTTTTAACTTGATCTCTCTTTTAACTTGCCTTTGGTAATTGATACTGTTTTTGATTCAACTGAATTATTTTTAGGGGAAAGCTAAATGTTGGACAGTTTAACAAGGGTTGCTTCACAACTTCAACTTGCTTGAGGAGCAACACACTGCACTATTCTCAATACTGGATATCATTATTAAACCTTGACCTTGGATAAGGCTATTAATTATTAAGCTAACAATTATCTATCATTTAATTAACTTACGACAAATTTTCTATTCAATATGTTACCTTACTTCAAAACTAAATGTAGCACATTTGATGTAAGGGTATCATGGAATCAGTTTACTTACCTTAAGAAGCCAGTAGAATGGGATCCAGAATAAGAAAATGTCAGTAAAGAATTCTAGGAGTGAGAAGAAACTGTACACAGCCCAGTACATTAACCACTGAGTATCATCCTCCTTGTTTGTTGTCTCTATTGCCTTCACCCTGTATTGAAATAAGATGCTTACATGACTATTCATATAATATTAAAAATATCCATGGACTAAATGATACATGTATGTATCATGTTCAATTTGTAACATATCATATAATGTCCTAAACCTCATTTGATCAATAAGCCAACAAAAGTGAAGTAAAGCATTTCATTTATGTAACAATTGCTTCAGATTTCATCACTGAAAAATGAACAGTAAAACAAACTACTTACGATGCATAGGCTGGATAAAGAAATCCTATGAAATTGCAAAGGAACTGGGCTCCATATCCGATCATCAAATACAATGCACAAATAACTCCCAAACCTGAAGATAAAAAAAATCGTTCTATACATGTCTGTCACTTAAAAGTTTATAATAGATTATATATATCTAGCAGGCAATTTCAAATATACACTTTATGATAACCACAAGAACAAAACAAAGATTCTAATTAATAAAATAAATTATGTTTTGTGGGGACAATATGCACTTTACTACTACATGCTCATTATGCACTTCCAAAAATGAAAGATGGCAACCATATTTTTCATACCACACTGTATGGTCAGGGACTACCTTCGACTGAAAATTTTGGGAGAAGTGACTTCTCTCTTCAGGAAAAATACAACAGATTACACAACTAAATCTGCCTCCAGGCTGTATTATCCAGACAGAGTGGTGAAATATACATGTCAGACAGACCTTTCATAGAGATTTTAGGGCGACTAGAATTTCGCTTTTCCGATCATATAGAGCGAAGTGAAAATATTTACGGCGAAGTTTTCGCCTGACTTCGCCCTGAACGCAGTCCCTGATGGTTACGGACATTTAACCATTTGTTAATGTGGTATTTCTTTATATATGATTTTGTTATTATTGAGCAAGTAAGATATTTTGTGTGACAATCATATCGATTTATTCAGACAATAGACATATACACATACAATTTTATCACAGATATCAACTTGCATATATATAAAAACACACACATAAATGCAACAAAAATAATTATAAGATTAATTAATAAGTATGTTCTATGTAACCCTAGGATTGCCCATTAAGCTAAAAGCTTATTTCCAATGGGGTCCATTTTCTGTAAAATTATTACACTAACTTACATAATAATAAATGAGTTATAAAGAAGTTAAATAAATGACAATTTTCAATAATCAAGACACATTTTTCAATATAATAAGACAAGTACATTGTACACAAACAAAATGAAATAAATTTCGTTTAAACTAAAACATATCAAGTGCACAAGTCATAAACATGTTATAAAACCTTATCATAAGTTACACATCAATTTAATAATAAATAAACATATTATTCACTTGTTTATCATTTTCATTACTTAAAAAATGTTTTACTTTCGTTGTAAATGTTTGGATATTGTCAATTGATCTAATGTTGTCTGGTAAAGAATTCCAGTCTTTAATGGCATTGTAGAAAAATGTATTTTTAACATAAGAATCATTTTGAGGTAAAACAAAATTAAAATTACTAGATCTTAAATTGGATATTCTACAAACCTTAAACAATTCCTTTAAATAAGAAGGGCTTTTGTTGTAATAAACTTTATGAATGTGGTTGAGTCTTAACTGTCTAACTCTATCATTGACATTTAATAATTTAAGACAATTTGGTTTATGTGTGAAAATGATTTTTGTGCAGCAAACTGTGCCATGTATTACTGATGTCAAAGCTGCCAACTTTAGGCCAAGAATGCAATATATAATAGCATACATGTGACAAATGAAATGGGCCAAATCTGGATTTTCAGCTGCTTTTGAGGCTCAAAACTGGATTTTTTATCGACTTGAATTTCAATGCGTGTTTGGCACATTTGGTTCAAAGAATCTATATTACCCTCAAAATCATTAAATGGTTATACTTTTTATGATTTTTTTGTGGATCAATATTAATTTATTTCACCAAAAAATAAATGAATAGATAAATAAATAAGTGTAGTCATACAGGCTATTTCAAAACAGTCACATTTTCACATTTCATTATTTTCAGTTTGAAGAATTATATCTGTCTTTTCAGTCATTCAATAATTGTCTACAAGCTATTTGAAAACGTACAACAACTATTCATGAACATAAGACTCTGACAGTTAAATTACGTAACATAAGTAGAAGACTCAAAATAAATACAAGAATCATTCCGTTAATTAAATCCACATTTTTGCCTGGATGATAGTGTAATTCCTAAACAAAACAAAAAAATACCCACTCACTTAAAATAGGTTAATTAGACATCTTGAACAGGTTTTTGAATGATCCACTTTAAATGATTCTGATCACCTTTTATCTTTATCAGTGCGGCACTAATCAAAGAAAATCAAAGGTTGAGCCGAATTCATACATGTAAATTTACAGGGTAGTTTTGATGACGTAGCGTGTAATACCTACTGCCAAATTACAAAAGAGTTCAATTGATTGACACACGACACGTGATAAGTTAAACATGTGAGAATAACTTTGGGTATAGGATTGTTTATTAAGTCACCTTGCTGTCAATTAGTGACTCAACATTTAATCCGCTATAATTTAGGATATGAACAGATAACAATCAATGCCCGGAGGCACGGTTTACATTTTAGATACAGGTGCTGTATTTGGTTTTTTTTTTATGTTGATTTTTTTTTTTTAATATCGGGAATTCAAGCTGTAATATCGGGAATCGGGATCAGTGTTGAAATATCGGGATTTTTTTAAATCCCGCCAGTATGTCACATGTATGTAATAGGTTCAAGATCGCCAGGTCAGGCTAGATTAAAAAATTTTACTAGCCTGATTATCCAGTGTTTTTTTTTAATTTTTCATGTATACTGACACTTCATCTAGGAAGTCTGGCCTTAACATAAACTTGCACCTTTTTGGCTGTTGGAAACAATAAGTGCAATAGTAACAGGAAAGTCTGGTCTATTTCTATGTACCAGTATATTTGCATTTACTCCCATTAACTTGATTAAGTCTCTTTTCATACTTAATAATCATGGATACGCCTACAGAATATTATTTTCCCAGTTCAGATGAACAAAAATGTGCAAGATCCCTCTAAAATTAACCCACATGTATGAAACACATTACATGTCTTGTTTTAAAATTGAAATTTTTAGAGCATAGCACTAGCAGAAAGCACATGTCCTTGTGTACATAATGTAGCATGCATCAACATCATGATCAGAAATGGGCTATTCCAGAAAATGTCCGTACCCCCCCTATAGAAGGCACTTTTTTTTGTCCAGGGGGGGTATTTTCATAGAGGGATTTTGTCCGAGGGGTACCCGTCCAGGGGGGTGTATTTGTTTGAAATGGTTTGTCCAGGGGGGGTCTTTTTCAGCAAAAATGTTGTCCAAGGGGGGTATTTCTCAGGAAAAAATGCCTTCCATAGGCGTCCAGGGGGTATCTGTCCAGGGGGGAGGGTATTTGAAATGGTTTGTCCAGGGGGGTGTTTCTCAGGAAAAATGCCTTCCATAGGCGTCCAGGGGTTATCTGTCGGGGGGGGGGGGGGGGGGGGGGGACGGAGGGTATTTGAAATATTGAAATAGTTTGTCCAGGGGGGTGTTTCTCAGGAAAAATGCCTTCCATAGGCGTCCAGGGGTATCTGTCCGGGGGGATGGAGGGTGGCAGAGGGTATTAATGAAATGGTTTGTCCAGGGGGGTCTTTCTCGGCAAAAAATGCCTTCCATAGAGTGTCCAAGGGGTATCTGTCCAAGGGGGGTGGGGGTGGAAATGTGTTGTCCAGGGGGTATTTTTCAGCAAAAAATGGTGTCCAGGGGGGTGTTTCTCAGCAAAGAATGCCTTCCATAAGCGTCCAGGGGGGTTTTGAGATGGGTTGTCTGTAAATAGGCCGTCTGTCCAGGGGGGTCTTTTTTAGTCAAAAATGCCCTCCATATAGTGTTCAAGGGGTATCTGTCCAGGGCTGTTTGAAATTGGTTGTCCAGGGGGTATTTTTCAGCCAAAAATGTTGTCCAAACGGGTGTTTCTCAGCAAAAAAAAGCCTTCCATAGGCGTCAAGGGGGGTTTTGAGATGGGTTGTCTGCAAAGGGGTTTTTGAAATAGGCCGTCTGTACAGGGGGGTCTTTTTTAGTCAACAAGAGCTGTCGGTAGGACAGCACGCTCGACTATTCTTAGTGCTTGATAGTAAACGAGCCTTGATAATGTTAAATTTTTTAAGTTCACAAAAGGGCTAATTTTTTTTTATAAATTCATGTTGTAGGCCTTAGAGAGAGTCTAATTATACAGTATTGGCTTGACTATTCGGAAGGTAATGTCACAAGGGTGTTTTATTGAGTATAATAATACTAATTACCTATGAATACATAAATTTGACAGAAAAGGTACAAAGGCTTGTTATTAAGATGTTTTATCAAGTAAATCACTGATTTATTATTATGAATGCATAAAAGTGTCCCAAAAAAGGCACAAACCCTTCTGTAGTTATTGAGATAACAGCTTACAAGCAAAACCTTACCATGAATTTCTAAGTTGAAAAAGGGGAGAAAAATCAGCCTAAATGCAAGATAGAATTATAGATCTTTGTCAGTGACCTACAATTATGACCCTAAATGCATATGTGAAGTTTTAAATAAATATCTTTAATAGTTATTTAGATATGTAAAACTTGCATGTAAACATTAACCAAGAGACTAAGTGGAAAAGGGGATATGAATCAGCCTTTATGCAAGATAGAGTTATAGAACTTGGTCAGTGACATACAATTATGACCCTCCAATTATGACCCTCAGTGCATGTGTAAAGTTTCAAGTAAATATCTTTGAAGACCTTTAACTTTTAACCAAAATTTCTAAGTTCCAAAGGGGCATAATTCTGTCAATATTGTAGGCAGAGTTATCCAACTTGTCAATCTGATGTACCTTGTTACTATAAATAAGTATTGTAAGTTTCAATTGAATATCTCAAGCAATAATTGAGATATTTGACTTTACAAAAAACTTTAACCAAAATTTCTAAGTTAAAAAGGGGCATAATTCTGTCAATATTGTAGGCAGAGTTATCCAACTTGTCAATCTGATGTACCTTGTTACTATAAATAAGTATTGTAAGTTTCAATTGAATATCTCAAGTAATAATTGAGATATTTGACTTTACAAAAAACTTTAACCAACGCTGACGCCGGGGCGACTACAATAGCTCTCATATTCTTCGAATAGTCGAGCTAAAAATGCCTTGCATATAGTGTTCAAGTGGTATCTGTCCAGGTGTGTATTGAAATGGGTTTTCTGTACAGGGGTGTTAGAAATTGGTTGTCCAGGGGGTATTTTTCAGCAAAAAATGGGTTGTTTCTCAGCA